ATTTTTTTAAACAATAGAAATATTATATTTAATTGCTAAGTAAATAAATATTCTATCGTTCTTATCGATGTTTAATGCACTTATAATCTTTAGTATGTTTAGACATATCAATGTATCACTGCGTTTGATTAGATGGAGAACATTTGTATTTTTTCGGTACATTTTATGTATAACTAAAATGATGTAGACAGATAAATTAGGAAAATGTACCAAGGCAAGGATGTAGCGAGAAAATTGGAGATAGAGATAGATAGATAGAGAGGGAGAGAAAGATGGAAGGAGGGATGGAGAGGGAATATTGTTAAGTAAGTAAATATTAATTAAAGGAGAGAGATAAAGAGAGGAAGAGAGAGGGAGAGGGAGGGAAAGAGAGTGTGTGAGGGAATGAGGGATGTAGAGAGAAAGTTGCTAAGTAAGTAAATGTTAATTAAGGGAGGGAGAGTAGGTGAGAGGGAGGGAAAGAAAGTGAGGGTGAGTGGGTGAGAGGGAGGGTGAGAAAGAGAGGGAGTGTAGGTGAGAGGGTGGGAGAAAGTTGCTAAGTAAGTAAATGTTAATTAAGGGAGGGAGAGTGGGTTGAGGGAGGGAGAGAAAGTGAGGGTGAGTGGGTGAGAGGGAGGGTGAGAAAGAGAGGGAGAGTAGGTGAGAGGGTGGGAGAAAGTTGCTAAGTAAGTAAATATTAATTAAGGGAGGGGGCAAAAGAGATGGAAGGAGAAAGAAGGAGAGGTATAGGGAGAGGGAGAGAGAAAGAGAGAGAGTGATTGGAGGAGGGATGGAGAGAGAAAGTTGCTAAGTAAGTAAATGTTAATTAAGGGAGGGAGAGTAGGTGAGAGGGAGGGAAAGAAAGTGAGGGTGAGTGGGTGAGAGGGAGGGTGAGAAAGAGAGGGAGAGTAGGTGAGAGGGTGGGAGAAAGTTGCTAAGTAAGTATTAATTAAAGAAGAGAGATAAAGAGAGGGAGCGTAAGTGAGAGGGTGGGAGAAAGTTGCTAAGTATGTAAATATTAATTAAACGAGAGAGTGAATGAGAGGGAGAAAGAGAGATTCTAAACAATATAAATATACAGATATATTTACATTCTAAGTAAATAAATATTCAATCGTTCTAATTGAGTTTATTACACTTATATATTATACGATACATATTTTACCACAACAGAATCGCCTCGTTTCATCTGAACGTATGTAACTATATCGTTATATTTTATATAAAAGTAAGATGGGAGAAAGAAATGGAGATGAAAATTTATTGATTTGGTAATTGTGGCAAAGAGAAGGACGCAGGTAGGAAGAAAAAGTTTGATAGTGATAAAAGGATAGTGATAGGGGGAAAGAAAATGGTTGCACTATTTGTTGTATAATTTTCTTTCCAAAACTTTTTTTACTTTAGTTAATTACGTTTTCTGCAGTATGCTCATTCGTTTCATGCTTTTCTTTTCCTTCCGTCTTGTATTTGTTCATTTCCCTGGCAATCTCTGAATCAATTCTTTTATTACATTTGATGAGTTTCTGCCTTTCCATCTTTAACTTTTTAAATTTTCTTCTATTCACATTTGTCTCACTTGAACTTTTATATCTGTACTCTTTTCTTTGCCTAGTTAATTGGTAGGCTTTCTTTTATTTTCTTATTATAACTGGACAGATTAGATATAACGTATATTCAGACCTGGTTTAATCGGAAAAAGTTTTTTTTTCTCTTTTGGAGATAATCGCTTTTATAAAGTCGTAAATCGGAAAGTAATTAACGATCTTGCAGCACGCGATTCGCGTGTTTCGTGCCAACGGCGAATCCGCGCTGTAAAACATCTGCCTTCTTCGCAATAACGCGACCGTCAAGCTCGAGTTTTATCCGTGTCGCTTCAACCTTTTTTTTCGAAACTTCCAAGTCCCCCGGTAAAACTAAGCCGGGCTTGGCCTAGAGAAGATACCGCCCCCGGGGCGGTAAGCCTCGCGTGCCAAGGTTGCGAGAATTGACATACGGCAAGGTCTATTTCTGCCCTCCTCGGCTCCAGTACGTCTTTCATTTTTACATTTGTCAACTCGGATATTTTAAATCGGGAAAATTAAACGGCCCGCTTGGCATGAATGGGACAAGGCGACAAATTCACAACCCAACTGATTTTCTAAGAATGTCGAGCATCTGGGACAAAAAAGTTTATTTTTAATTCAAATAGAGTATAAATAGTAAAAAAGGTTTATCCAATTTGATACAATAAATTACTTTATACCGAGACAATGTAGAGTTGTTTGATCACTGATTGCCACATGGTTAATATATAAATGGACAGTAGACAGCTAACGGTAGCTAATGGCCGGAGAGAAGGTTAATCGATGATTTGAAAAATCATTGCCCCCGCTGTGTTCAACGCCCTTCTACCTTTCATTCCGAAATTCTTTTCTTTTATTCATTCTTAAATATCTCGTCCTGGTTGATGCCAAATCGATCGAACACCCATTTCTCTTCTGAAATGAAACACTATGGAGAAATGGCAGGAAGAATGAAATTAAACGTGGTGATGGTGAATGACAGTCGGACCTCAAATTGATTGATTGAATAACTAGGGAGGAAATAGATTTATCATAACGGAAATGTGGGCAGAAAGACTGCGCGGTTCTTGAAAACGAGTCTTTTTTTTCTCCTGGTATTGGTTAAAAAATTATATATAGCTGTGCTTCCTGCGACCGGAAGAGGCGAAAACCGATTAAATTGTTGTGCGATGCCCGCTGCGGGGGAAGGCGCTTCGACGGTGTAGTGCGTCATTGGAAAGCGCTATTTCGGTTCCGCCCTCCTCGACCGATAACTACCAGCAACAAAGTCAACTCCAGATGGCCGGCCGGTTACTTTTAGAACCCCGGATCGGGGAGCCTCTCGACGTCTTTACACAAGGCGAGCTATGACGTCAAATGGGTAGTTGATGGGTGGTAACTGAGGATGGGGTAATCCGCCACTGGCATAAACCGAAAAACCACCCGGGTGCCACATCCATGCCCGACATCCCAAAATGGATATCCAGACTTGTACACAAAAATTAACCCTCGATGACTCGCCCTGGGATATTCAACATTCTTAAATCCGTCTATAAAGGAAAAACATATAAAACAGTTGAAACATACAACATTGAACACATAACATTTCTAAAATTTCCTCTTTGATGAATCGTAACTTGGTGTCCCAGCGAGCCTGGAACAAGTAATTTTTTTACTATTACCAAGCTGTACGATAAAAGAGAAACTCAAATAATCGCAAAGTTCATATTGAAAATCCATGCTTAGAATTACATCAACAGTAATAGACATCATCTAATTTACATTGAAAGATCAGTTATGGTGACAGGAGTGAAAAGAGTTATAGTTAGATAGATAGATAGATAGATAGAGGGTGAGTGAGTGAGGTGAGTGAGTGAGATAAATAGATAGATAGATAGATAGATAGATAGATAGATAGATAGATAGATAGATAGATAGATAGATAGATAGATAGATAGATAGATAGATAGATAGAGACAGAGAGAGAGAGAGAGAGAGAGAGAGAGAGAGAGAGAGAGCATGCTTCACCACACCAGTGTATCGGTGCATTTTATTAGATGTAGAATTATTTTTCAATGATTTAGTATTATTTAAAAATAGCAAAACTAAGATGGAAGAGATAGAAATGGATCAAGAAAAGAGGTAGACAGGTACATTAGAAAAATGAGACAGAGAGAGAGAGAGAGTGAGAGAGAGAGAGAGAGAGAGAGAGAGAGAGAGAGAGAGAGAGAAGAGAGATAGATAGATAGAGGGTGAGAGAGGGGGAGAGATGGAGAGAGAGAGAGAGGGGGGAGAGAGAGAAAGAGAAAGAGTGAGAGAGAGAGCTCTATAAAAATATATCAGATTATATCGTGTACAGAAATGAAATCAATTTCAATTAGCAATAAAATGGCCATATTTGGCAAGATACCGTAGATTTCGCTGCTATCGTTCTATTTTTGAAATATGGAATGTGTGTGTGAGAGNGAGAGAGAGAGAGAGAGAGAGAGAGAGAGAACTTTATAAAAAAATCAAAATATATCATAATACACAGATAAGAAATTTTAAGAAACGGTACATAAATGCCAAATGTAATAAAATGGTAACCTTCGAAATGATTCCGTAGATGTCGCTGATATCGTTTTCCTAAGTTGCCCTCATTTACTTTCCCTAATAATAGTAATAATAATTAATATATGAATTAAGAGAGATAATACGTGTACAGAGATAAGAGACAACAGAGAGAAAGGTAGATAGAAAAGTGTGTGTAGTATGAAGAGGGTGATGCGATAAATAAACAGATAAGAATAAACAATAAGAGGGCGGTGGAGAGACAGTTAGGAAAATAGAAATAAAAATATAAGAATAAGCTAGAACGATAAATAGTTATATTCTCGAATGATTAGTACCAGCTTCTTCGTACCTTCTGTTTTTATTTACTGTTAACTTCCAAATTCACCTATCAATTCACACGGTAAAGTTTAGGTCCTAAAATATTTTCTCCTCTTTAAAAATATAGTGTGGCTGCCTGTTTTACCAATTTTTTTCTTTTATTTTTTAATAAATTATTTCAGTTTTGTTAGGTAGCTTGTTCGACTATTTGTAAATCCCCTTGTGGAATATTTTTATCACGATTTTTTCTTGTTTTTTCTTCTTCTTATACTTAACGAAAAGTCGAACTTTTAAATCAGTCCGCTAATTTTTAAACATTTCATATCGAAATGTGGAAGAAAGGCGAGAAAACGGTTTTCCCTCTTGACTGGTACGTGTTTAGTCATAGTTGTTGAAAGGGAAAAACAGACTTTTGAACTCGTGTTTCGCCTTTGTTTTAGTTAAGTGAGTACAAGCTTGATTGTAAAGAACCGCATCGCCACCTGGCACTGTGCCCCAGTTCGCCGAGGGATCATTTATGCCTTCAACCCGCCAATCAATAATCCGTCGTCGTTTATTTCTAGTACGAGGCCTAATTTTTCTTCTGTACAAAGTTTCTCCCTGTTTCAGGAGGATTGGGTCTGGTCGGAGGCGAGAGGAGAACGGGAGAAGGCAACGGTACTGGAGTTGGACGCAGCCCGGGCTGACGGTCGACGAGCTCGGAAAGCACAGAAGGCGCAGACCACCGCCGGGGCTCAGGCCCCAGGACAATATAAAATTGCTCGAAGGGGCTTTTTCGCATCTCAAGACTGAATACCAAAGGCGCTACAGGAGGAACTCGATTTTTAAATCTTTTGAGAGGCTCAAACCCGAGGATTTCCTCAAGCTAGAAGGAGATTTGGTGTACACCGGCGAATACAAGGACGAGTACAGAGAGTTCCCGATAAAAAGAGTCTTTCCGGCGAGGAGGAGGAGCACTCTTAAAATCGAAGGCGATTTCCTCTCTCTGACCGAAGCATCGGAAAATTACAAATATGTCGAAGGGGAGAGGAGCCGGTCTGCGAGGAGAGGCACCCTGCTCAAATCCGAAGGGGAATTTTTGAACAAAACGTCAGAGGCCCGTGAGAGTTTTGTAGAATTTCCAGGAGTTACGAGGCCGGAGCTGACGAGGAGGAGCACTTCTCTCAAATTAGAAGGGGGTGTGGAAAAGGTGACGGAATCGGCCGAGAAATACGTGCCCCACACGCCTCAGCTGGTGGAGAGAATCCGCCACAGGGAGAATATCGCTTTGGAAACGGCCCCGATGAACGGAACGTCGGAGACAACGCGGCAATTTGTGGACTACGGACCGCAGGCGAAGAGGGACCCCGTGAGACCGACTCACGACCTGATCCCCGAGGGGCTGAGGGAGTTCCAGCCGGAATACAGGGAGCAGTTCATCTCTTTCCCGCTGACGAGGTTGGTCGCTAAGAAGCCCGAGGGGAATCTGCACACGGAAGGTTCCATGGTCATATCTTCGGAGCTTAAATCCGAGTACAAAGACTTCCCGAGGTCCAGACCCGTCCTCCACCGTAACACCTCTCTTCTCAAACCGTCTGGCGACATCGAGAAGGCGACCGAGGTGCGGTCGGAGTTCAGGGACTTTCATCCGCAACGTCCCCTCATCCACCGGAATAACTCCCAACTCAAGCCGTCCGGGGATGTGGCCAAGACAACGGAGAAGAAGTCCGAGTTCAAGAATTTCCATCCGAAACGGCCGGTGATCCACAGGAACAACTCGAACCTCAGGCCCGAAGGGGATGTGACGAAGGAGACGGAAGCGGGGGCCGAGTTTCGAGATTTCCACCCGTCCAGACCCGTAATCCATCGCAACAACTCGCAACTTCACCCGGAAGGAGAAATGGGCGGGTCTTCGGAGGCCAGGACGGAATACCGGGACTTCCACCCGTCCAGGCCGGAAATCCGCCGCAACAACACACTGCTAAAAAAACAGGAAGGGGAAATGGAGAAGAGTTCGGAAATCGCCTCAGAGTACATAGACTTCCACCCCTCGAGGCCGGTTATACACCGAAACAATTCTCTGCTAAAACCGGAAGGCGACATGGAAAAAACTTCTGAAATGTCTGAATACCGAGACTTCCACCCCTCAAGGCCGGTTATACACCGAAACAATTCTCTGCTAAAACCTGAAGGCGACATGGAAAAAACTTCGGAAATGTCTGAATACCGAGACTTCCACCCCTCGAGGCCGGTTATACACCGAAACAATTCTCTGCTAAAACCTGAAGGCGACATGGAAAAAACTTCGGAAATGTCTGAATACAGAGACTTCCACCCCTCGAGGCCGGTTATACACCGAAACAATTCTCTGCTAAAACCTGAAGGCGACATGGAAAAAACTTCGGAAATGTCTGAATACAGAGACTTCCACCCCTCGAGGCCGGTTATACACCGAAACAATTCTCTGCTAAAACCGGAAGGCGACATGGAAAATATGACAGAGAAAAGGGCGGAATTTAGAGACTACCACCCTTCCAGGCCTTTGCTCCACAGGAACAACTCTCTGCTCCGGCCGGAAGGGGATATGGAAAATATGACAGAGAAAAGGGCAGAATTTAGAGACTACCACCCTTCCAGGCCTTTGATCCACAGGAACAACTCTCTGCTCAAACTCTCGGGAGATATGAACATCTGCGATCCGAGGGGCGATTTCAAAAATTACCAACCTAGGAGGCCCGTCATCTACAAAGCCGGGACCAACCTCAAACCCGGGAACCGGATCGAGGAGAGGGAGCGAGCCCTGTCTGCAAAAAGGCACGATTACTTGTTTTACGAAGGGGAAATCGATTTCAGACCCGAGAGAAGGCACCTACTAGAAGAAAAGGCGAGGACTGCGCCCGAGAGCCGGCCAAGGAGGTCCACGGACGATTTCGAGCCCTGCGAGACCAAAGGCTATCCGGCCACTTACAGAAGGTATTCAATTAAAAGAACAAAGGCAATTCAAAACCACAAACCTAACAATATTTAAAAAAAGCAGGTTGTCCATTTCCAAGTTATGCGACCGCCCGGCGGCTAAACTACCTAGAGTGGACGGATGAGGTCTACTTTCGTACGTACTAAAGTGTACATAATCACCATGTATATAGACGAACACGTAAAGCTCTGTACAAAAAAAATGGCCGTTCCAACTTTGGCAACTGCGTCCGGACAAAATTGACCAAAAAGCCATTCGCAAAGGCAAATTTTGGTCGAACTACAGACAAATATAATTAAACTTGCTGTATTGTCGAGGGTTCTTGGGTTTGTGTGAGGTGTATAGTTCGATATCCATCGTGCTCCCTAAGACCTAAGTTCTTTGCATCTGTCAGAAATGCTTAAAAATTTAGAAATTTACAAACAGGAGGAAACATAACGCACTCGTAAATACATAACAAAAAGAAATAAAAAGAAACAGAAAACGGACACACAATGACTTACACAAATAAGAAAAATAGTACACAAACCCACCACTGAATATGGCAAGACAAACAAACGACGATCGTAAACGGCCAAAATTTATTTAACAGGCAGCCTAACAGGCATTTGTTTTAAATGTACAAAATATAAAAAAATAACAGTATACTATGTAAACTAATATTTACAATAAAATAATACATTATAAAATATACAATAGGTAGAAGAATAAAGTTAAATTTTTATTTTTTCTGATATTTTTCAAAGAAAATCAACGAATCTCTTGTTCTGCTGTTTTCCTTTCTTCTTCTTCTTTTTGCGTATTATACTTTTTCAACTTTATTGGTTTTAGTATTGTTGTATCATTCTACAAACGTCATTTCTGTTTTCAAACTAATTAGCGTATATTATATGATATTAACGATAATAAATCCTTTTACGTGACGGAAAAATTTGGAACAGTTATTTAGAAATCGTGAGATGCGGTCTGGTGTGATGTAGGTTTCAGAAAAACATTTTCTTTATCATGCCAACGTTTCGATCTTTATCGAGATCATCTTCAGGGCTCAAAGTGTTTGTCTTCTGTGTAATTGTGCCATTCTTGCGTGTCGTGTCGAGAGTGCCCCGTACAATTACACAGAAGACAAACACTTTGAGCCCTGAAGATGATCTCAATAAAGCTCGAAACGTTGGCACGATAAAGAAAATGTTTTTCTGAAACCTACATCACACCAGATCGCACCTCACGATTTCTAAATAAATATCGATTAAGGGTCACTAATCACCACACATTTGGAATAGCTTAGAAATGAGAAATCAAATAAATTTGGAAAATTTTGGTACGCCACATTGTAGTGGATAAACGTACTAAAAGGGTACATTTAGCCTTACATTTAGCTAATTTCGCACCTAACTCAGAATGAATGAAACACTTTGTTCAATAAACAAATAAAAAATTTACCATATAATTTATAATATAAAAAATAAGCACACTGCAGAATTGTCTGTAAAATTTTAAAAAGAACCAAACTATTAAATTTCCTTTTTGTACACATTTGAAACATTTTCCACCAAATTTTCCACGGAATTTTATAGACTTTAAATGTTGTGGAGTGAAAAATGAATCAATATAATGACAAATTGAAATCCAGGTTCAGGCTTCCTTCGAAAAATTTACTAAACTAAAATAATAAGGATTATTTAAAGAAAATTTGGTCGTCTCTTGGTGAGTCTAAATGACGCTTTTGCGTCGACTTCAGTTGAAATTGGACGTTCCGCCGAAAAATTAAGCCTTCACATGCTCGTCTGTTGCATAAAAATCATAGATCGGGTCCGTTATCTCCAGTAGGGTTTAGTTAAGGCAAAGCAACTCCCATCTAATACAGATCTACCTACACACCCTACCCATCACCGCCAGCAATTTTATCCTCTAACTCCAATCCTATCCAAGCTGCCTTCAACCTCCAAGAACCCATGAGCTAATCGAAAGCATGCAAAATGCATGTCAAAACTGAGAAAAACAATTTTCAAGTCAAATACTAGGCCTATACCTAGACAGCACACATATGAAATCTCCATAGGACCTAGGAGACAACAACTTAACTGAAGACTTGGACAACTATGAAGATTTCTAGGACCAAATTCAGGCTTTGACGAAACTAACCTTATAACCTTAACTTACAACCACTTTGGACATAGTGAGTAGAACTGTGGGGTTATGCCAAGCCATCAAACATCCATTACATCCAATCAAAAGTCCTCAGACAAATCGACATAGTAACAAGCTTTACTATCCACAACGATCTCAACATTCTTTTTTCAATGAACCTTTTCAATTCGAAGAGTTTCTTATCAACCTCTCAATCCATCCTAACCCTACTGCTCGAGTCCTCTTTAATCATTCCCATCCCGAGAACCCCCAGGGGCGATTGGCTCGACACCTCTTTACGTCGTCATACTGCCAGCATTGGCTGGTATCTCATGGCATGTGTCCTCCGGGTATAGAGCTGGCATTAATGTTAGGCAAAGTGAAAAAAAATTGTGTCCATGCTTCTAATATTTACAAATATGAGTAGGATGCCAGTTAGAATTGAACAAATTAACTCATAAAAAATAGAAATAAAATTGTAAAATGTATTTTGATGTCAGCGGACATAAAATATTGTCAGTATTAGAAATATCAACCACTTGTGGGTTCAAGGTGTAGTCAATACTGTTAAAGACCGTGTCAATGTTGGGACTGCGGCAGTCTTCAGGGAAATTTGAAATCGCCTGTAAAAAACTTAAAAAAATACATATCCTGCGTTTTATTTTACTTAAGAGACCCATTGTGAATAATTGACAGAAAAACTATTATTGTGCTGGTGCTTTATTTCAATTTATTTTATGGTACAATCAATGGTCCATTTGGCCATGATTTATTTGACCGAATTGTTGATAAAATTTGGTGTATGTATATAGTATGTCATATATACGGTCGAAATTAATTTTCCACACTTTCTTCTCGTCAAGTCATTTATATATTCGAGTTTTCGGCGCTGGCAGCACGCCGGACTAACTGTACTCTGTCGAGACACCTGGAGGTCTCTTCCCGTTTCTTCGTTCAAAGATCCTCTCAACCTCAATACCGAGTCGAGTCTTTCTTTTGATATATGTTTTTTTCCTCACGACTGCTCGAAGTCTTAGTCGAAGACAAGAGATCGTGACACACGCTTCTACAAATCCCGATCATCTCAGCCTTCGCTCTCGTGATAGGCGGTTCTTCGAGGGAGACCCACTGGGAGTCGCAATGTCTTAGACGAGGTTCTGTAACGTGCGCACATGGCACATAGGCCTTATCACAAGTTTAGTTTCTCAAGTTAGGAGCGACTCACCTCGGCTCACGCTTACATAGTGTATGTATGTGTGTGTGTGTGTGTGTGTGTGTGTGTGTGTGTGTGTGTGTGTGTGTGTGTGTGTGTAGAAGTCACCTCATCCACAAACTAATCAGACATGCCAACTTCTCCCTCTTGCTCCGTCCGAAGAGGTGGGTCAACATTGTGCACTTAACCGTGTGCCCCGCAGAACGGAATACCAAATAATGGGCTGAAATGCATCAACATGCAGTGAAATACACCGCACTCCCTAGATAGAGAAAACTATCTCCAAGAGTATTGGGGTTCCGCTAGCGCCAAAACTACCGGATCCTTCCGGCCGCGGTTTCGTTTAAAGTGGAATTTCTAACCACCCACTACAGGAACGTGCCTTCGGTAAAGGACACTCATTCAGGCACCACCGAACAACAAGCTCTTCTTTTAGTTCTCGCCAGAGCCTCACCACTAAGCCACTACGGAAGTTATGCACCCTCCCCATCTATGCGGACAGGATCTGGTACCCTAACCCCCGTGTGCCTCTGATGCAGCACCCGCTGTCCGCCGTCAGCTCCAACAACTCCCTTAATGCAAGGGACTGGGTAGGACTGCGATGTGGACCGAAGGGCATACGCACAGGCGTAGGTGGATGGCCACCAGCCAGGGAAACCACTTATCGACACCCGTATAGCTGTCCCCACCTGTTTTCAGTCTTTCGATCCTATTTTGCAAACGCAAGTAAAGAAAGTCTTTCCGCCCTTACACGTATTTGTACTGAGTCCTCCGTGTTTTTGTGTGAGAGGGGGGTTTCGGCCCGTTTCTTTGGAAATGAATCCCCCAAGCAAGGGTTGAGTCTCAACAGATCGCAGCAAGGCAACTGCTCTGACGAGTACAACACCCCGCTCGGAAATAAAGTCTTAAATAGAGTCTCGAAATCGAACTCCCCGAAGGGCGAACCTTGCTAGAGGCGGCGAATCGAAATGTACCGATCTGCGGTCGCCGTCCGCTCGGCTCCTACGCGGCTCGGTAAACGAGACGCCTATTAAAGTCGCATGATTTTGAGCCTTTCAACTCACGAGACTTACAACGAATCATTGCTCATATTCGGGATTTTGCCTTTAAGTCGTTCAGGCGTAATCCCATGGATGGTATCATCATACCACTGGCCTGTCGACCGAATGGTTTGAACCAATTGTCCTGCTGTCTTCTCGTACTAAGCAGGATCACTGCAGCAATGACTCATCAAAAATGTAAAACTAACTTGTTTCAACGTCAGTCTGAACCCAAGCTCACGTTTTCTATTGGATAATTCTGCTTCGAAATGATAGGAAGAGCCGACACATACGACATAGCTATGAACTCTTGGCCGCCACAAGTCCAATTATCCCTGCGGTAACCTTTCTGACACCTGTATCTACAACTCTTCAAGCCAAAAGGATCGCTGGTCCGTGCTTTCGCAGCCCCTATGCACACTGAGCACGGGATCAAGCCAGATTTTGCTCTTTTGGTCTAAGCAAGATTTCTGCCCTCTCTGAGCTAACCTTAGGACACCTGGGTTATTATTTGACAGATGTACTGCCAAGGCCAAACTCACAACCTAGTCTCAGATTCTGGCACTTAGAGTGGTCGGTTATCATTGTGAGGACCCTGAAACCTCAACTGTGTCCGGGAGGATGTGAACCGTTTCTTCGGGACACAACATAACCATTGCATTTTGAATGGTCATGTATTCACAAATTGTACACCCTACAACTTTTGTTCTGAGGACCTTTTCAAAAAAGTGAACAGGAAAGCAACAATTCTTACTTTGACCCTTGAAAGAGTGATTGGTTTTTTCCCATGATCAAATAAAAAACCATTTTTTTGCTCGAAAATTGTGAATAACTGGACAAAGGTTGAGAAGTCGGGCCAAGTGGAATGTGAATTGAATTGAATGCCAATTAAAATTTCCCATTGATTGCTATAGGGCACCACTCCAAAGACGATTTCCTGGCTATACAGCTCAATTTGAAATTTTCGTAAAAAGTGCAAAAATTAACATGTCCCGTAAGTTTTGAAATTACTGATGAATGACTGATGCTAGGGAAACATATAAAATGCCATCTTGTTCAGCGTAACATTTTCTTAAAAATGAGGCCTAGCGCAGGTCGGTGACTTAAAAGGCTGAGAAAATATGCATTTACAAATTTGGCCATTTTTTCATGCAAAAACCAGGTGGTCGGTTTTTTTTTTATGGACAGTGCATAAGTGAAAATAAAATGAGAGAAGTCTGGTTTGTCTATGATGGCAGAGCATCACTGTATGAATTTTAGTCTCGACTTTGACTTTTTGCTTTCTACATTTAAATTTTTTTTTTTTCGATGTACAAATATATTTTAGATTACCTTAATCTTGAAAATTGAATTATTAAGTATCTTGTGATACAGGAAGGCTTAATATCCAACCCAATAATTGTTTGATGCCCTAACCACTCAGCCACCACAATCCCTAAAAGTATAATTAATATATAATTACTTAATTTGAATAGTATTTAATTTTCCTTTAATTAATTTTTATTCAGACTTAATTTAACATGGTGTAGGATTATTATATTTTATTTTTTTGTGTGCTTGTATTTCAGGTTGAATAATAGGGAGCCTATAAAATATATATTAATGTATAAATTGAAGCATTTTTGTACAAACAATTACTAAAAGAATAATTATAGATGAATTTGCAGGGTTCCTGGAACGACTACGCTTCCACGTTCGAGGGCGAGGAAGAATCTACTCCAGACGGATTCATCAACAACGACTACGGATGATAGCTCTTCGTTGTCAAACGATCACCCTGCCTCTTTCAGGCTGACTGTCCAAAACGTCGACGAGCCCCAGGTGAGGGACAAGTCATTCGTGGTCCTCCAGGACGACAACAACAACAACTACGAAGGCGAGCCAGTAGAGTTCGGCCAGAACAGATGGCTCCGTGGAAGCCTGCGAGACCGAGCGGAGCCGTGGCGCCCTTCGTGGGCCCTCAACCCGAACACGAAAGAGGTGCCGACAAACTGAAAAGCTCCCCTTTTAACTTCTTGCCGAAAATCCTCTTCGGAAGAAAGAAGCAGAAAGCGCAGAAGAACGAGAAAAAGCATACGACCATATTTCCAAAAATATTCTCCCGCCCGGTACGCAAGCAGAACACCAACCGTTGGACGATGGCGCAGAACGCTCCGCAGAAACAATTGATAAAAAATCCAGTCAAACTGCCTAAACCGCTACCAAAAATCAACACAAAGCACAGCCAAAACAAAAACAACTCCCAAGGCTGCAAAAATAAAAAGACAAAATTTCAATTTCTGAATTAACCATGTACTATATAAACATTACTTTATAAACAAATAACTACAGGACAAAGTGCACCTTTTCTATTTGTTTTATTAACATTTCAATTGCATTGTAATAGAATTTTTAAGAAGTAGATAATTTATAATCAAGTTTATAAATTTAAAGTGCAAAAACTTTAAAACTTCTTGCATTTTTTTATAATTTTTTTAAAATTATTTGTAGCATATAATCGGCCTACTCTTTATACCACTGTGGTTGTGTTAGAATGAGACGGTTTCGACTTTCAAACCTTATTTAAGAAAAAATGGCATAAAATTCGATGATGGTGTAGCTATCATGAAAAAAGTAAACACACTTGGAAATTATTTAGATTATTGGAAATCATGGCATTTAGATTATTGACAATATTGTATTATTAAACTGCCATTTTAGTCATTAGGGATATTTTTCTAAAATGTTTTGTAAAAATGCACTCAACAAATCGTATTCACTTATAATAGAAAAGCAGTTATGACAAATTATTTAGATTATAATACGGTGAGATTGTAGACTTGATCTTCCTTTTCTTTTAAATATATATTTTTTAAAGTAGACTGTCAAACTTAAAAAAATAAAATAAAATAAAAAAATTGTGTGCTATACATATTTTTAAGTCTATGGTATTTATGTTGTTTCATAGTGTCAAAGATGTTTCAAATAGATGCTTCCAAAAAAATGTTGATGTCATTAAAACCGCAGCCTTTTTGCGTGTTAAATTTATTTTTGACAACAAAAACAATTCACGTATTCCTTTTTTTTAATTAAAATAAGCAGGGGAAAACTATGTACAATTTTATAAAACTGTAAGCCTGTCTGGACTGTAATCTGTCAGATTACTAAATCAACGTGGGGGGGGGACCTGGAGGATATAAAAACATGACAATTTATTGAGAATGCTGACAAGGCTAATAAAGCTAGGATCACCATAAATCTGGTTCCATCAACTGTATGGGTATTGGGCCCCTACACCTATGAACCACTGTCAATGGGACAATTATCTGCATAGCCAGATGTCATAAACGATCCTCGCAAGAGGACTTTGACGGTCTAATCTCAGGAATTTGCTTTTACCTCACCCTTGTTTTGAATCCGTTTTAAAAACTGTAGCAATGGAAAATCAAATGAGTCTGATGGAATGCAGAGTTAAGGAAAGTTTAGGTTAGCGCCAATATCAGGATAGATGAGTTCTTTGATATCCAAGGGGCGTTTGATAATGCTGATACTTCTTGCATTATATCAGCATTAGATAATTACAATGTCGACCATCACCTTACTAGATGGGTGAAGACCTACTTGGAGGGGAGGATGGTCAATATGTGCTTAGGTTATGGTCTTAGAATTAATGTAAAAGGAGGCTGTCCACAGGGAGGCTGTTTGTCACCTCTTTTATGGCTAATTACAGTAAACAGCTTAATAGAACTTCTGAATAATTCAGGTTTCTACAGTCAATTATTTTCAGATGATGGTACCATAATGCTCACAAGTAGAGATCCTTTGACTCTTTCACTACTGATGAAAACACCATGGGATTGCTTTATAGGTGGTGTTGTGACAAAGGTTTATCAATTAATCCGGGTAAACTAGAATTGATAATGTTTAGCAGGAGAAGAACATTAGGTAATTTTAAAAACCCTAAATTTCAGGGCATAGAATTAAAGTTATGGATTCCATCAAATTCCTTGGTGTGACACTTGACAGGAAACTTGATTGGAAAGGTCATATTAATAACATATACAGGAAAGGCACTAGATCAATGGTACAATGTAGGAGAATTGTCGGTAAAACATGGGGCATCAAACCATGGGTAGCTATATACTGCAATTATTCTACCTAGATTCTTTTTCGCAACTTTAGTGTGGTGGAAAGGTCTAGAAAATAAAGGGAATAGTAATAAATTAAGGTCATTTCAAAGACTAGGTTGTTTGATGATGACAGGAGCATTTTCAACTACATCCACCCTAACTCTTGAAATCATAACCAATACCACACCCCTTCACATTGAGGTTAAGGTCAGAGCAATAATCAGCTGCTACAGACTAATTAGCGAGGGCAGATGGAATCATAAGTGCAACAACATAGGTCACTCGAAAATCTCACAACTATTGAGTAAGGTTAACGGTCAATTATTAAGCGTTAGTGATAAAAAGATTAAAACCCCTTCGGGGGAAAAGCACTTTCAGGTAGTCACCCCTTGTGATTATAATTATAGTCTGGATGATGACCATTGTAACATAGACTGCTACACAGATGGTTCACTTATCAAAGGAAGAGGGAGTGGTGCAGGAATCTACATACTAAAATTAGGAATCAGCATCTCCTCCCCTCTTGGTAATAACACCTCCGTTTTTCAGGACGAAATCTAGGCCATCAATGTGTGTTGTAGAACACATATGGAAAATAAAATTAAGGGAAAAGATATTAAAATCTTTTCTGACAGTCAGGCTAGTCTTAGGGCATTACAAAAAGATTTGTCAACCTCACGACTGGTGGAGGAAACTATAGATCTTATCAATAGGATCTCTTTCAGGTTTGAGAATAAGGTGACCCTTATTTGGATACCAGCACATAAAGGACACCATGGCAATGAAAAGGCGGATGGCCTAGCCAAAGAAGGTTCTAATACTGCGTTTGTCGGGCCACAACCGGTATTACCTCACTCTATGAGCACAGCGAAAGAGAGTATCAATAACTGGGGCATGAAACAATTCCTTAGGGAGTGGAATTTATCCCCCGGACACAGGCAATCGAAAGAGTTTGTTAAGGCGATCAAACCAGCAGAATCGAAATGGCTATTCTCTATCTCAAGGAAGGGAATTAGGAGGCTGATAGGTATTCTGACGGGCCACTGCCCACTGAGAAGACACCTCTTCGTAATGGGTATCCTACCAGATCCCTTTTGCCGCTTCTGCGAAATAAAAGAAGAAACGGCAAAGCACTACCTCGCAGAATGTGATAGGTATGCTAGGTCTAGATTTGAAATCTTTGAAGGAGAGGACATCACCAAATCACTCCCCGAGATAAAATGGTCCAAAATCTTGGGGTTTGTGAACAAGTCCAAGAGGTTTATGCAGGACATGTGAACCATTCAAGTCCCGGACCTTTTAGGGATGGGGTACGAGTCTACCCAGGCATTTAACCCCTCGGGTCTTGGTCGCCCACCCTGCATAATATGTATATAGTGCTCATAGTACAAGGAGACTGTGACATGAGTTGACAGACAAGGTGAATCCAGAAACGAGATACATGAAGAGACGAGGAAATGTAGTAAGAGGCTGAAGGGTGTGTACCCTGGTTTTAGCGAGTGTCATCTTGGGTAAGCATTAATTTTTTGTATAAACTCACCTGTAGTACTTACATGTAGTTAATTAACCTCTACAGTAAAAATATAGTCTGGGGGAAAAATTATGCTATATGTCCATGCCTTGCTTAGGATATTTATACAGAGTGTCTCCACCACTTACTGTATGTATTGTATATCTGGTAATTTTCTTACATTTCTTCTTCATCGATTTATGTAAAATGCTTTCGTTTGTTGAAAATATTACAATCATTATTGTGTTTTTCTGCTTCTATATGAAATGAAAAATAATTCTGGTATTTAAAGTCCGCTTGAATAATTAATTGAGAATTACAAATACAACATATTTATAATAGGTAAGATGTTCATTTACAAAAATATAAATTGGAAAACTAAAGGAAATTTAGAGTAAGTAATTAATAGTAAGGAAGAAGAATTAAGCACAGATGTAAATTTTTTTTTTGACTGGATAACCAAGATAACTTACGTTTTGTATTTTTTTAAGCAATAGCAAATAAGACACTAAAGGAAATAAATTAATACAAACATAGAACTAGAAATTTAAAAAAATCTAAGTAGAACAGATTATTAATTCTGTTCTTAAATTCTAATTATTGTAATTGATCATGCTGATAAAATAATATTGATTACCTGATTCGGTTTTATAGTGTTTGATGCGCTTGGGGATTTGGGTATTAAAAAAGAAAGACAACAGTGCACATTTATTATTTTGATACAATCTCAGTACAATTTCTTTCTTTTTTTTTTTTTTTTCATCACAAAACCAAAAAAGAACAAAATACTTTTTGTACACAATAAATTGCTTTAAATGCAAAATATTTTGGTCAAAAACCTAACATTTACATTATGTATTTTGTGTTAATTTTTTTTTTACAATTTTGTTCGTTTTTAAATTTTTATCACTTGGATGATTAAAAAAAACGTTTTAGTGCATTTTCATTTTAATATTTGTATTTAGGATGTAAAGGAAAAAAAGACAAAATTGCAAATTTTTTTTTAATCTCTCATTAATTTTTACACCCTAAATACCTAATGGATGGAATGTTCCATAGAAAATCTATACAGTCTATTTACTACAAATAGTTAATTTTTTAAAACTTTTTGTTTTTTGTTTGGGCAGTATAGTTTATCAGCTTATACTTTATATTTTCAAAGAAAATCATCCACAAACAACTTTTTAATTTAATATATANTAGTTAAAAAAACTTAGAATTTGGTACGAAATATAAGCACGTAAAGTAAAATTCTTGAATATTTGCGAAAATTTTTTTTTAAATATACAATATTTATAGTTTTCTTTTGTTTATTTAGAGCGTGTTTCGTTCCCACGTGGACAATTAGTCCTTTGTCACTTATGACTATGCCCATTGACATCTAAATACACGCTAAAAAGGTCACAAAAAACAAATTTTTTTTCAATTCGGCGTTGTACTATAAACAGTTTAAAAAACAACCAAAAACTCACAATCATATATGGGATCTACCAACTATTAGTTTTTTATATAATTTTTTTTTCTCCGAAATATTTTTAAAATTTATTATAAAAATGTTACATTTGGTCATTGTGCGTTTTATTCATAGAACCTAAAAATCGTCTTACACAGATGCGGAGAAAAATTGTCCACAAAAGCACTAACCTTTTTTTTTTTTTTTAATTTTAACCGCCTTGTCTACTTTCTTTGTCAGGCTATCAGAAAAAAGACGAGCTTAATTATACGACACGCAACAACACATTTGCTTAATCGTAATCAAGAATTTACAACATTGATAATCCAATTTTTTTTTTTTTTTGAAAAGTGCCTTTCGCACATCAATTTCATTTTTGTAATTGTTGGCCTCAAGAAATTTCAAAAATGATCACCACTGCAATCACTTCTAGAATCATGTTTTTAATAAATAAAAAAAACATTACAAGCTCTATTATAAATTTAACAATGTTAAAAGAAAAACAAAGGGAAAAAAACTATTTCTAAAGAATAAAGACACTCTTCAGACAATGGCATCTAAAATACTTTTTTATATATTGATACATATATATTTATATAAATTTGTCTTTAACTTACACTGTTACACTATTTTTGAGCATTTTGGCACTTTGTTCCTTGCCCTATGGAGGTGAATAAATGACACGATTCTAGAAAATACAAGAACATAACATCTTTAGCGAGGAATTTATATTTAAATTTTGATTACTCTGTTAAGCTTTTTTGAACACATAATAATAATACAATTTAATTTCTATTACAATTTTTTAAATACTGTTTTAATATATACAATATATACTTTGATTTTTTGTTTCTAATAAAAGATTATATTGAGCCTATTTTGGCTCATAACACAAATATAAATTAACTAGGATTATAACATAAAATATATTATTTAATTACAATAGTTTGTTTTAAAATTTTATTTTGATGTTTACCCTTTAAGATTGTCACTTTAACAAGTATTTTGTTTGTTTCTTGGGCTATTTCATGTTTTGGTCATAGGTATCCTAAATCGTTGTGAGTCTTGAAGGGCAGTTTTTTGTTTTTGTCTCTCTTTATCATTTGTTTATATCATTTACCAAAAAAAAAATTTTTTTTTCTTTATACAAGCACCTAATGCTATCTACAAGGAAAATAATTATACAAAGCCTTTCGATCAGATGAAATTTGTGAGAATGAAAAGGCGATGGAGGGAGAAACCCGAAAAACAATACGCTACAACCGTTTCACAGCCATTTGAATCTTCTTCCTAAATTCAAGGAAATTCAAAAGAAAAAACAAGACCTCTAGGCCCTTCTCGATAATTTATATATTTCCATTATAGTTTGAATAGTGTTCATAAAGAATAAAGAAACATCTAAGTTTAATTACCTAGTAAATTGGAGATAGTACTCTTAAAAAGGTGTTCTATACAGTGAAAAGAGGTCCATTTATAGTAATTATCAATAATAAACTATGTACAAACATTATCTACTATTTTTTACAATATTTTTTCCAAATCGTTCAATTTTTTTTTTCTTCAAAAAGGAGAAATTCAACATTTATACCAAATAACAGTTTGTACACAAATTGACTAATTCAATGTCTTCATAAATATAGAAAAGAGCATCCTTTTCGAGTGCGTACGATCACGAATCAGTGTAGACGCAGTCAGAAGGTGGTTTCGGAGCGGATGCAGCTAACAGCTCTTCCACGACTGTCACTCCTTCTCCCTCCCAGTTGTCTTTGACCTTTTTCAGCACAATATTTTACAGTTGGACTGAGGCCTTGACAGGCCAAATCAACCAGTAGATCTCCTTTTTGACCAATTCTTTTTTCCCCTCTCGGGAAGGCATTCTTATAATTTTTTAAAATTGTTTTGCTTTGAAAAATTATAAAATGCTCAACTTTTGTCAATCTTTTTATTATTATTTTTCTCAATTTATTCACTGATATATAAGTGGATTTGCATTTGGTTTTGTTTTATTTTTAAAGGTTATGTGGTGTTTTTTGTGTCCATGTCAATGTTGTGCTTTGTTTTCTACACTCATTGTTAAGTTTATGTTTTTATCTGGCAAAGAAAAACAGCACAGATAGGCAGATCAATAATGAATTTTTTATTTGGGTGTGTTTTATTTTAGAGGGTTATGTGTTGTTTGTTGTGTTTTGTGTTCATGGCAGTCGTTTTTTGTCTAATTTGTGTTATGCTTTGATCTGTATGGGCTCACGTTTGGGTTTGTGTTTGTATATGGCAAACAAAAATAACAAGAATGTAGTCAGATTGGAAAATACTTCATAAGTAGATTTGTATTATTATGAAAGGTTAGGTTATGCTGTGTTTGCGTTCATGTCTGTAGTTTTCTGTCTAATTTGTGTTTTGCGTCGTTTATATGCACATCATTGGGTTTGAGTTTGTATTTGGCAAACAAAATAGCAAAGATAAGCATACGAGACTGGAAAATTCTTCGTAAGTGGAATTGTGTTTTATTTTAAAATGTAATGCAGTGTTTATTATGTTCTTGTTGATAGTTTTCTGTCTAATTTGTGTTGCGCTTTGTTTTATATGCTCTCTTTTAGATTTGTGTTCGTATTTGGCAAACAAAACCATCAAGCATAGGCAGACAATATTGGAAAATTCTCCAGAAATGAATTTGCACTTGGTTGCGATTTATTTTGAAATATTATGCAGTGTTTGTTGCATTCATGTCAGTAGTGTCTATTTGTGTTATACATTGTTTTCTAAACACATTGTGGTTTTGTGTTTTTATCTGACAACAAAAACAATGATAGGCATATTTTGGAAAATATACTACCAAACTTATTTTGTGTATTTGTTTTTAATTTTCAGTAAATAAATTATTTAATGTATTGCCCTCCTTGCAGACAACATTCATGCTACATACATTAAATTGTTAACAATAAACATCTTTTTCCAGTACTCAAAAAGTTTGAGAAGGGCGATACAAAATAAATAATATTGCTTAAAACTTGAGCATTTTTCTTAAATATATTATAAATAATATATTAACTATATTAGCCTAATAATTCATTTTTTAAATCAATTGTTTTAAGTAGTTTTTTTCTGAGAAGATCTATTGATTTGAATAATTATATCTTTTCCTTGTCTTTAAATTTACAAAACAGAAAATTAGCTAATCTACATTATACAATGATGAGAAAATGTGATTTTTGTGTTTATTTCTTACAACAATAATTATCGATTTACATTTGTCACTTAAAACTTTTTTTTGTTTAAATTACATGTTTACATTTTATTTCTTAAAATTTACACAGTTTCGCTTTGCAAAGGGATTTAGGAACATGCTCAGGATTATTTACAATTGTGTGGAAAAGGAAGGTCGAAAAATTATTTATATATATATANTAAAATTATATATATAAAAGGTAAATGGAGTAGATCAGGAAAACAAAAAAAAGGTTTGATTGATGGTGATAAAAAAAAAGCTTTGAGTGGACAGTGGAAATCGGCAATTATCATCTTTCCTTTGATCATTCAATATTGATTTGTCTGGATGAGATGAAGAAAGTAGAAGAAAAGAAAAGCGAATTAAAATATCGGGATGAATGTGTCAAACGAACGCTACAGAACTTGGAGAAGGTTCGAGATTGATAAGCGGAGGTGGCGATGAGGACTTTACCTGTTCGGCTTTTGTCATGACCCTCAGGATATTGAGTCCGGCCAGCTTTTTGAGCTGTTCCTCGTTCCATTCCCCTGTCGCCAGAAGTGCCGCCAGCAGCTCCGGGTAACGAGAAACATCCTCAAGGCCTTCCGGAGTCCTGGGAGTGACAATTTTTAATCAAATCACAACGCTCTTGCATATTCAACGCACTCGACCCCACTTTAGCGCAAGAAAATATTGGCAAATTGTATGAAATAAGTCATTCTGGACGATTTGCAATTCAACGTTATTCCAATGAGCTTTTTAGGCTTTCAAATTTTTGACATTAATCAATTTTATTTTATGATAATAAAATCGCACATTGACTTAATTCATTAATTTCTTCCAATTCAACGAAAATACTCACTTATTTATACCGTCATATCCTGCCCCTAGGCCGACCGAGTCTTCCCCTGCTATTTTCCTTATGTGGTTAATGTGAGCTTAAAATAAAATATTAATTAAATAAATCAATTTAAAATAATTATCTAATTTAGCCTCATACCAATGACATCATCCATGGTCGCAGTGTGGTTGCAACTGATGAAGTTTGTGTAGAAGTTCACCATAACTATACCACCGTTTAAGGCCACTTGTTTGAGGATGTAGTCAGGAACATTGCGTGTAGAATTACAAATAGCAAATGCAGAAGAATGGGAAAAAATAACCGGTGCCGTAGAAACGTTTATGGCTTGCTCCATCGTCCGAAATGAGGTATGGCTTAAATCGACAAGCATACCCAACCTGTTAAGCTCCCTTACAACTAACTGCAAAATGTAATGCGATCATTATTGTCATATATGATTCTGTTTTAATTTTATTTTTGACAATAATTACCCGGCCAAAATGCGTCAAACCTTGGTTTTCTGCATCGGACGAATCATTACCGACACAACAGCCAGCCCTGTGAAATTAAATTAATAATAATGGTCTAAATTTTCAAGACGTATATTTTATACCATGGAGTGTTGCATGTATGGGTGAGCGTAAGGTAGCGAGCCCCGAGCCCGTAGAACATCCGTAGAACGCCGAGTGAGCTGCCGAGTGAATGACCACCCTCAACCCCAATTAAGCTAGCAATCCTGCCATTTTTGTGGGCTTCCTTGATGCCTAAAAATTATAAATTAAAAAATCAAGTTGATATTATTATTTCATCTTAAAACTGATTTGTACAAGTATGATGAAATATACCAAAAAATCTACTATACAACATGGATTGAGGAATGACTAAATTTGTATATATATAATATATAAAAATAATAATAATAAAAAAGCAGAGTTCTATGGATTTTTTTTGTTTGGAATTGAATTTTTAGCCAAAAATGAAATTTTTTAGCCAGACAAGTTGATTTTTTATGTTGAGAATTCTCCGGTGATGGATCTGTAATTTGATTGTGACTGATTATTTTCATCTGCCTATCCTTGTTGGGTTGATTTTTTAAATTCCTTTTAGTTATGTATCTATGCCTCAACCTGCTTATAACCCCAGTGAGGATAGGCTAACTAAAATTTTCATGATGATTTTAAAGTCTAGGAACTGGTGTTTTTTTTTTCTTAGTCTAACGAGTAGATTTTAAACTACTTTTAAGGTAGAAATTTGACATGTATTGAGTTTTTAGCTTCATAACAAGTTGATTTTCTATTGTGAGATTTCTCTGGGTTCTGTATGGGGTGATGGACCTGGTCGTTACCAATCATTATTGACTAATCCTACTTTCAGACATTTTTTGGGTCCGTACCGATGCATAGGACCCAAAAAGTGGCAAATCCAACCCATAGGTGGACCAAAATGATCACGTTTCTAACCTAACTGGTAGATTTTATACTGCTTTTAAGGTTAAAATATTAATATGAACTGAAATTCTACATTAAAAATGGAGCTTTTAAGCCTGAGAAGTAGACTTTGCGCTAATGTTAAGACTACAAAGTTTAGTATTAGTTTCTTGTCAAAAAGAAATTTTTTTAGCCTAACAAAGAAACATACACTTTTAAGGCTACAAATTTGGCACGAATTGAAAATACAACCTAATATGGAAGCTTTAGACTAAAAAATTGATGTAATACCACTTTCTACCATAAAATATAAATTTTCAGCCTGATAAGTGGATTTTACACGACTACCAAGGTCACAAATTTAGCTTAAAATTAGGTTCTTGCCTAAAAAGTGAATTTTAGCCTAACCAATTCTTAACTCGAGCCCGGATTCTTATGCAATTGCATATTCTTTTTGCTAACATTTACTATCATGATGATCAGATATTAATCTGATAAATGGTTTTACAGAAACTTATTTTGAAATGTAAATTTTATCAATTTTAATTCAGATCATATAAAGATGGGGATCCTGTGCCCATTACTCAACGACGCACAGTAACAGCTTTATAATCTAAATAAAACACATTTAATAAATTTTTGTTGTCAATAAAAAATATTTTAAGGAAGATATGTCTTGTATAATTTTAATGTAAGGTAAAAATTGATATTAAATTGTAAGATATTTATAATAATAAACTTAATAATGTGTTTAGTTGTGTGTTAAAGTTTTGTTTTATAAACCTATTGCATTGTGTCGAACTTTGTTTCAACAAACTGTCAGCTGTCTGGTCTTTATGATGTATATATAAAGAAGATTAAATTAAATAAATTGATTGATGGATGTGTGAAGAATAGACGGTCGAGGTGGATCGATGCGAGTGTGATTGGAGTGAAAGGATACACGAAAAGTAGAGATAAGTTAATTGTAAATTTTAAACGGTGTGATTGATGTTAATTTACTGTTCTTAATTTAATTTTTTTTAAAGGTTACAAGATTTAAATTTTTGTATTTTGTGAAATCGTGTATTTAAATTTTTAAAGAATTTCACGTCAGATTATAATTTAATAATTTATGACATCCACTGTCACTAGGTGGCACTCAAAGACAAAAATGCCTTAGTGTCAGTAGAGATTAAGATAAACGCAACATGGGCTTGGAGGTGTTGTAAAACCTTCCACTGCTCCATATTCTTTATCCAAGAGAGGAGAAGCCACTAAGGGCCTCAGGCTCATAAATGGACAACCATTTGCCAAGGATAGGGCATGTCAAGGGAACAATGGAAATTGATGGAAGATGTCATACCTATCCGACTACTCCCAAATATAACTTCACCAACAAGTAAAACTTTGGTGTATATTCGGTTGTGGTGTGATAGGGACAAAGGTAAATGTGCATTAATGGGCAATGTGGCAGAACAGTCGCTAATTTTGTGGTAGTCACTGATGATAATAGCGAAGATTCAAAAGCCATTATTAATGATATTTTAAGCGTTTTCTTGATCCTGGTCAGGCAATACCGAGTACTTATACCAGAAAGGGAAGAATGGGTCAAATATCTCTGAAGGTCAGTGCCTACCGGTGTACTGATAGCTCAAAAAAAGGTAGAGATATGGGAGCCTTTCCTCAGGAGGCCTTGGGGGGAATCCAAAGACTGGACTGACTAAGGTTAAGGCAATTGAACGCTGCACCTGAGAAATAGATAGACCAGGAACACATTTCAGGAATCTTCTGGCTATCTAGCCATTTTCTCTGACAGTGGCCTTATATTCATGCGAGGTAAAGGTAAAGGCATGGAATTGTACAGAATCCCTGGCAGAGGTCAGTCAGTCAATGATCCTATGACCCTGGCATGGGTCCCTGGGCATTTGGGGTAGGCAATGAAAAAGCAGTTTTGTTGGCCAAAACAGAAGCCAAAATGAATTCTCAAAGCCCCAAACCCAACTGTGGCCACAAAAAAGGATAACCCAAAAATGGATGCCTAACCAAAACTTGGTGGAGCAACACCTCAGGCATGAGTCACACCAAGATATTTATAGAAGGGCCATCCCAAAACCCTTCAATGGAATCACTGGAAGATAACCGTACCAGAACCAAGTTTCTGGATGTTCTACTGATATGGCACTACTGCCTAACTTCTGGAAGGCATATGCACTGTGTAGGAGCAAAGAAAAAATACTGCCAAGAAGAAGAGGAGGTCTCACAAGGTATTTTAAGTAATTGTGGGTGTCTATTAGGTGTAGATTCTTGCAACTAGAGAGTAAAATCAACCAAATCTTACACGTAAGAACTGCTGGGAAGGCTGCTGTCCAGTGAGTTTAAAAAAATGGAAGAGATAGATAGATCTGCTTAGGTCGAAGTGCAGAAGGCCTTATGACCACCTCTTTTATCTCTATTCCTAATCTCTTTTATCCTGGGTAATCAAGTATTTTAAAAGTGTTAAATTACAATTTAGTACGTCCACGAAATCCCCGAGTTTATATTAATTGCCCTAGGGCTTTATTGCCTGGATGGGAGTAAAGCCGGGGCTTTTTTTTCGTATTAGGCCGCAGAGGGATTTTGAATTAAATCGAAATTCGGGCCTGTGAAAGGGAAGTTGAAATAATAAAATAAATAAGGATCGGATTCTTTGTCCGGTGGGAGAGTGAAAGCTTGACAACACTGAGCTTTGTGTTAAGGCCTACCGAGCAGACGGCTTAGTCATTGTCTGACACAACCGCCACCGTCACTCCTGACTAATCCTCCACTCCAGTGTGAAATGATATCGTGACATTACTACCCTCAGACACTGACAGCAAAAGAGGTTTTTCATGAAATCCAGTTTTTCCTATGAAAGTTTTTTTGAAGGAATTCCACCCATTAGAATCGATCGTTTACAAGGAGAAAATCCCCTGAGAGATTACCGTGATTAATCGTTAATTAAAAGTGTTTGAGGGAAGAATTACCGGCCGGGTTTCTCTTTCGGACTTTAAAACCGCCCCGACGGGTTCGGAGGAGTGCAAACAGCCCTGGCAAATTCTGACAAAGCCTTAACGAAGCAAGTCTCCAACTTAGTTAGCCCACCTTCTTATGAGAACTGGGCGCCTAGGGCGAAAAACCACTCATTTCGCGCTTTTCTCTCTTGGGTCTGTTTTCCGGGCACGCTGCCGGGCCCAAATTAGGCCTCTGTTCATAAATTACCTGACCTGGTTCTTAAGAAAGAAAATAAAAATGGATAAATGCAAGCTGCGAGCTTTGTGACGGCTTAGTTTTTACATCGGCAATTTAAGGAATAAAATTCCTGGACAACAGTACTGAAGAAATTGTAAAACAAGGACTCTCTTTTTGTTTATATGTATATTTTTTTTAAACATCTGCCATATAATTAATTTCAGTCTTCAATATTGTCTCGTACGACAAAGTTCATCAGGTGCTTCTACTCCTCAAATGCAACAAAAAAGTTCGTATGAACCGTACGCAGTTATTCAACGTTTTGTTTTTTCAATTAATTAATATTTATGTAAGGTATTGGTTGAAATGAAAAAGTTAGTGTNAATAAAGTAGAAATGAAACAAAACATATAAAAAAAGAAACAATAAACATAGCGAACAACCAAAGAAAAAAATCAAAAAATTTTTACACTAAAGACATATAAAACGAAAGAAAAGGAAAAACAATATAGAAGATCTAAAACCTAACGGTAATCATTAAAAAACAAAAATGTAACGCTTTTAACGGTTTTACAACTTCTGTATTGTTTTTCCTTTTCTTTTCTTTTGTTTGTCTTTAGTGTAGACATTTCATGCAATTTTTGCTTTGGTTGATTGCTAGGTTTATTGTCTCTTTTTTATGTGTTTTGTTTCATTTTTTCTTTTTGTATTTTTTTATTAAGTTTAAGTTGGGAAATAAATATTCCCCGGGACAAAAGGTTGAATTACTAGATTAACTCCATTCTACTTTTCCTCATTTTAGTATAATATTTTTGTATTTTATTTTGATGTAAAAAAAAGAAAATGGCTTATTAAACGAAGATGTAGAGGAATTTAGTTTTTTTTGGTGAAAATTATCAATTTAGCAGTTTTTAAAAGATTACCAAAAATTAAATTGAAAATCCTAGAAGGGTGCCTACTTAAATGAAAATCAATGGTATTTTTCGGACGTTCCCAAAAATGAATAGCTCAAGAGCTAAGCAAAAGCTTTATAGATTTATAAAGAAAACCGTAGATAGTTTAAAAAAATAAACATAAAACGTTGAATAACAGCAAAAGGGTTCAGAATCGGATGGTCCATCCGAACTTTTTTATTACATTTAAGTTGTA